ATTTTTAGAGTTGTTTTGTTATTTTCAATTGAATTTACAAAAACGAGTTTTTAGCAGTTTTTCAGAAACTATTTATCTGCGTTCAAACATTTATTTCTATCAACTGGGAAGTGATTTTTCCGAAAATCTTTCTCTATCATGTTCATCTACATGTCTAGAACCTTCCCTCAAAATTTCATAATTTTTAGAGTTGATTTACTATTTTTAATTGATTTTACAAAATCAGATACGCAAATTTCCAGAATCTGTCAAAACCTGAAATTGTTTGTGCACGTTGCTACAGTGTGGTCGACCGTCACGATCGACCGTGCTACAATGCGATCGACCGTGACGGTCGACTGTACGCAGTCCAGAGAGCAATTTTTGAGTTTTTCTTCTCACGGTCGACCGCGACGGTCGACCGTCGATGTTACCGTTGTACAGTAACGGTAACTTGCTGAATTTTGTCTTTTAGTGATTTTTAGGGGTTTTGGGGTTATTTTTTTCTACCCTATATATACCTCATTGCATTTATCATTTGATACACCAAGAGAATGTTTTAAAAGAGTTTAACAAGGGTTTAAACTTGTTTAGTGTTTGTTTAAAAGAGTGTTTAAGAAACTTTTAAGCAATTGAGAGTTTTGGGTTTGTGAAATCAATTTCACAAGAGCTTGAGGAGATCCTATTGGTGCTTGAGCATCCAACCATCCTCCTTCAATCTCTTGATCTATTGAGAAGTTTTCTAAACTCTATTTTCTAGCTTTATATCTATTTGCTTGTTTATCATTTTATTAAAGCTAGTTTTGTATTGAGTTTAGATTTGATTTACCTCTTTGTTACACACTCACATTGAGCTTATTGTATTTTCATACATAGTACAATTGGGTTAGTGAGAGTTGTAACAATTAAGAGTGAGCTTACATTGAGTTCTCATCTATTGTAGAGAACAAATCATTTATTATATTGTGAGATTGTAAAGTTTTCAGTGAGGTAAAAAACCGAGTGTGAGGAGTGTAGACGTTGATCGGTGAACGTTAAAAACCGACATCGTGAGTGTTTGTGAACGTTGATCGGTGAGCGTTGAAAACCGACATTGTGATGTGTAAACGTTATTCGGGTGAGCGTAGAAAACCCGATTGTGATAGTGAATTTCTCCCCGTGAGTGGGGAGCGGAGACGTAGGACGGAAGGTCCGAACTCCGTGATCATTTGAGTGTGTTTGAGTTTGTCATTGGCGTATTTACTTATGCATTTATCTTATATCGTCATTGCCTATTACTCTTGTATATCTTGCCCTATCATATTTGTAGTTTGATTATATCACCCTTGTGTTAGTTTATATATCCTTGCATATATTTTTATAGGATATATCTCATTGTTCATATTACTTATCCTAGCTCACATATCATGTTGTATTTCATACTTGCTATTATCCTAGCTCACATATCATGTTGTATTTCATACTTGCTAGGATAACTTGTTAATAAGTTTTAATTGGCATAAAATCGGATTAGATTAGCATAAGACCCTAATCACCCCCCTCTAGGGTCTAACAAAATATTGTCAGCAACATTTTGCAACAAGACCCCCAATAATTAGGGTGCATATCGGTAAGAAAAATCATTGTAACCTCAAGTCAAATCTAACTTTAATTGTTCATTCCCAGATAGTGAGAAGTCATTGAATCCTCCAACTGTAACTAAATCCCTCAAAAGCATTGGAATTAGAGCTACGGCCTAAGGCCATCCTTAATTGTAGCTTATGTTACTACATGCATTAAAAACTGAAAGATCTGTGAAAGTCACCAACAATCCTCTGTCTTTTATCTAACAATACAATTTTTATCATCAACATGCCAAAAATCTAGTAAATGAAATACATCCACACATGGGTAATTAGTTATAAGTTAGTACATGTCCAGCATGGATGGAGATACATACAGTGTCTGATGTATGAAGCACATTAATACGTTATTTATTTATTTCTGTTGAGAGGAGTGTTCTAAATATTATAGCTTGTTCCATAATAGTGAACATCAACTTTGCTTCATAATTTGATACGCCACCGAAGCTTATCGTTCTACAATGAATACAAACACAACTTAGATGACCCGTTGCACGCTAAAACATCGAGATTAAATTGCATGGTTTATCCACCTGTTTATTCATCTTTCACCTATAACTTTGGAGCCTTCGTATTAATCTCGATTCTACACCAATTGCTTTCAATACCAAAATGTTCTAAAAATTAACACTTCTCCCACATCCACAACTAACTTAAAAATTCCAAAGTTTTCACAAGTTTACCTTCTTAACTGAAGCCGACCAGGAAAGAGTAAGCCCCAAGAACACAATGAAGAAGAAGGGCCCCCAAAGATCCCAATCCCTCAGCGCCTTCCCCGGATCCTCTCTAAACGGGTTCGGAAACACAACCAGCTTCAAATTACTCACAATCCTCGCCAGATCTCGCTTCACCGTGTCCCAAACGGGCTCCGTTAGCGTATTCGGAGCCGACCCGAACCCATCAGCAGCGATCGCGGGTCGGATCGGGCCCAGATTCGGAACAGGATCAGCTGAGGACACGGGGACCACCGGCGGCGGCGCCGGAGGGGCTTTTTGGTAACTTGACGGCGGAGGGAGGTTGGAGTTGATGAAGGGGGAGGAGGCCGGAGGGGCCTTTTGGTAATTTTGAGGAGGGGGAGGGGCACTCTGGTAATGTTGGGCGGGGAGGACGGAGGTG